GCCACATTCCTGATTCAACGCAGAATGGGAATAAACCATTAATGGAACAGAAAGTCTCTGCTATTAGTTTGTAACCCAGGGGAGAGCGCAAACGGCAGTCCCCACTGCCACAAATTTTGCAGTCAAGTATCTCACATTTAGGGACATTGTACATCAGCACAACCCACAGTGCAATGGGTTAGCCTCATCCTGGGAAATGGAGCACAGTGTTTCCCCTGCCAGGTAAGTATGTTTAACCACTGCTCATCACCGCCTGCTCATTGTTTGCTCTACCACTTATGCTTACAGTGTCTCTTCCCTTTCCTCCCTCCTCTCTGTGGCAGGGAGGGTAAGGGTAGAAGGGTATACAGAGACTAGCGCTGCCGTTCGAAAGAGGAACTTACTCAAAGCCTTCATGAATTCCTCGTAGTTTTCCTGACTCTCGACTTCGTACTTGCCGTTGAAAGCCATCGTGGATCAGGAACCAAATGGGTTTGGTTCCAGGAAAGTCGACAGGTAAAGTCTGACCAAACCTGGTGGTTATATATACACACCCCGCAATCCCAGCCAAATAATTGATTAACTAGATTTTTATATTCCCGACTATTGTGGCATGTTGTAATGTCATTACTTTTATAGCAGAAAATATACAATGCATAAAATATGTCAATGGCATAGATGTCATTCCCCTGGTTTTAAGTTCAATGAAAGGTGCTGTAGGTGTGACTGAGAGGTGAGAGGAGATTAGACATTCTCAGTTCTGGTTTTCAGTTTCACAAACTGCAGTACTTCTGCAATCATTTGTTTCCTGTTCAATTTTACCTAGAATTACATAGAAAGTTGCAGCACGGAAACAGGCCACTCAACCCAACAAGTCCATGCTGGTGTTTATACTCCATACAACCCCCCACCAACCCTGCTAATCCTCCTCTCCCATAGGATTAGCTCTCCCCTGATGAACATGCGCTCATCACATCTAGTCTTGTCAATTCCCTGCTTGTCGGCCGCCCCAACTCTTCTCTCCACAAGCTGCAGATTATCCAGAACTCTGCAGCTCATGTCCTCTCCTGCACCAAGCTCCGTGACCCCATCACCTCTACCCTCTCCCTGCTCCACTGGCTCCCCATCCCCCAGAGGAAAGAGTTCAAAATCCTCGTCCTCACCTTCAAGGCTTTCCATGGCCTTGCACCTTCCTACCTCTGTGACCTGATAACCGCTTATCAAACTGTCCGCTCCCTCTGCTCAGCAGGCTCCGACCTGCTCTACGTCCCCTGCCCGGCCTACCCCACCATCGGCAGTCGGGCCTTCAGCCTCTCTGACCCCATCCTTTGAAACTCCCTCCCTCATTCTCTTTGCCTTGCTCCGTCCCTTGCCTCCTTCAAGGAACATCTCAAGATCCTCTTCTTCGATTGTGCCTTAAACCATCCGTCTACCCCAACCCTCCTGCCCTCCCTGATCCCAACCACGCTCCCCCTGCTCGGGTCCAAATCCCTTATTGTCCAGTGCCTTGGGACATCCTCCCGAAGTGAAAGTCGCTAAACAAATGTAATTTTGTATTGTATTATTATAAATCAGCTACATAATAATCATAATATTCCTTGCATTTGGTATAGTGCCTTACCACATCATTGAGACATCTCAAAGCGCTTTGCAGGGTATACTGTAAAGTGGTTTGACAGTATATTTTGAGCAGTGTAACACCGCAGCCAGTTTGCACACAGCAAAGTCCCATGAACAGCCATGGAGCGAGTGAACAATTTTTTTGGGGGGGATTCTTGGCTTGGACACTGAGAGAGAGAATCTTCCTTCTCTTTTTGAATAGTCTTCCCAACTGTTTGTGGGACACTGCTGTGCACAATTGGCTGCTGCATTTCACCCAAAAATATATAATAATAACAATAATTCTTGAATTCGATATAGGGTCTTATCATGTCTTCGAGATATCTCAAAGCGTTTCACAAGACACACTCTTTAACATCCATCTGAACAGGCAGGTGGGACCTCTGCCTGCTCCGTTTAACATGATTGAATTTAACTTGTCAAACCGAGTGCTTGTCACTCTTCAACAGATCTCACGTTCAACATTCACCAAGGTGAATGCACTCCAGTGCAAGACTTGCTTATATAATAAAAAATGCTTTTTTATTTTTGATGATGAGATAGTTACTTTAGAATTGGGCGTCAATTGCCAAGACTCTGTGTTTTATTACTTGGTTCAGGTAATAACCTTTTACAGTTATTCATAGACACATTAACTGATTTTATGTTACACAGGTACCTTGACCTTGAGAATTGTGTATTGGACACAGATCTTACCAGCAGTCTCCCTCCCCTTTCATGCCTAAATGTCTCAGCGACGCTTTGCAGTAACGTAGAGTGAATCAGTAAAATGTAGATATCCTTTTCGCAGAACATAGTCCAACATCTCTCTGGGGAATGGTTCAACATTTTGTGTAGAGCACTTGCCTCACAGGCGAGAGGACCCAGGTTCGATTCCCGGTCAGGGCGAAACCTTAGGCAAGCTTCCTTACTGCACACACCTCTGTTTGCCGAGCAGAAAGTAGGATACCAGTTGTTAGTCAGTTAGCGTTCAGTGGTACTAATCCCTTCAAAATAATAATAATTTGCTCACTCAATCCATGACTGTTTGTGGGACACTGCTGTGCACGATTGGCTGACGCATTTCGCCCAAAAATATATAATAATAATAATAATAATCCTTGTATTTGATATAGCCTATCATGCCTTCAAGATGTCTCAAAGCGCTTCACAGGATACACTGTAATGTGTCGTGACTGTGTATTTTGTGGGCGAAACGCGACAGCCAATTTCGCTCAGCAGTGTCCCACAAACAGTCGTGGACTCAGTGACCATATTATTTATGTAATATTATAAATAACATTATAATATAATTATAATTTATATGTTGGAGTCCTGTAGATCAGTGGTTAGAGCACTCATATCGCAAGTGAGAGGACCTGAGTTTGATGTGAAACTTTGGGCAAGTTTCCTTAGTCCTCACACCTCTGTTCACCCACAGTAAACAGGAACCCGGTTGTTAGTTGATTGGTGGATCGCGTTTCTGGGGGTAATAATTCCTTCCAAAAAAAAATGTTCACTTCAATCCATGATTGTTTGTGGGACACTGCTTGGCACAATTGTGACACTGACCCCCCCACCCCAACCCCCACCCCCCTCACTGTGACACTGCCCCCCTCCCCTCACTGTGACACTGCCCCCCCCCTCACTGTGACACTGACCCCTCCCCTCACTGTGACACTGACCCTCCCCCCACTGTGACACTGACCCCCCCCTTCACTGTGACACTGACCCCTCCCCTCACTGTGACACTGACCCCCCCCTCACTGTGACACTGACCCCCCTCTCCAACCCCCTCACTGTGACACTGACCCTCCCCCCACTGTGACACTGACCCCTCCCCCCACTATGACACTGACCCCTCCCCTCACTGTGACACTGACCCCCCCCTCACTGTGACACTGACCCCTCCCCTCACTGTGACACTGCCCCCCCCACTGTGACACTGCCCCCCCCGCCTCACTGTGACACTGACCCTCCCCCCACTGTGACACTGACCCCCCCTCACTGTGACACTGACCCCCCCTCCACTGTGACACTGACCCTCCCCCCACTGTGACACTGACCCCCCCTCACTGTGACACTGCCCCCCCCCGCCTCACTGTGACACTGCCCCCCCCCCCGCCTCACTGTGACACTGACCCTCCCCCTCACTGTGACACTGACCCTCCCCCTCACTGTGACACTGACCCTCCCCCACCTTGACACTGACCCTCCCCCCACTGTGACACTGCCCCCCTCCTCACTGTGACACTGACCCTCCCCCCACTGTGACACTGACCCTCCCCCCACTGTGACACTGACCCTCCCCCCACTGTGACACTGCCCCCCCCTCACTGTGACACTGACCCTCCCCCCACTGTGACACTGACCCTCCCCCCACTGTGACACTGCCCCCCCCTCACTGTGACACTGCCCCCCCCTCACTGTGACACTGCCCCCCCCCCGCCTCACTGTGACACTGACCCTCCCCTCACTGTGACACTGACCCCCTCCTCACTGTGACACTGACCCTCCCCCCCTTCACTGTGACACTGATGCCCACCCTCCCTCACCCCTCACCATGACTCTGATACCTCCTGCACCCCTCAGTGTGACTCTGACACACTTATCACGTCTTCGATACGTCTCAAAGTGCTTCACAGGATACCCTGTAACTTGTTGTGACTGTGTATCTTGTGGGCAAAACGCGGCAGCCAATTGCGCACAGTGGTGTCCCACAAACAGTCATAGATTGAGTGACCACATTATTTATATCATTATTTTTGAGGGATTATTACCGCCGGAAAGGGATCCGCTAATTGATTTACAAGTGGGTTCCTACTTACTTCTAGGTAAACAGAGGCGTGTGTGTGGGGTGAGTGTGAGTGGAGTAAGGAAACTTGCCTAAGGTTTTGCCCTGACCCGCCGTCAGTTTACTTTACAGTCTATTCTGTGAAACGCTTTGAGATGTCTCGAAGACGTAATAAGGCGCTATATCAAATGCAAAGATTATTATTATTAACTCTGATCCTGTGCTCATCCAATGTCCGGGCTGGGGGGGAGATGGTGGAGGTTGGGAGAGGGTGGGAAGGGATGTGGGGAGTTGGTGCGAGGGGATGGGGGTGAGTTCAGGGGCAGGAGGAGGAGGTATGCAGATAAAATTGGTCATTCACTTATTTCTTGGTCAGCCGGGTGTCTGATGCACGTGGAGACCTAGTTGAACTGGGACACAAGAAGAAACTCAAATGCTGCATGAGATTAATGTCTCCTAAAGGGGTTGATCTTCTGTTAGACATGTTAAAAAAAAAGTCAGCAGATTGTTCTCTAACTGTACTAGAAAGAAAGTATAAAGTCTTGTATATTGTGCATAAAAGTGATGTGATTGTATGCCAGTGAACTGGACTGCAGTGAGGAAAGAAAGCAATCTCTGACACACACTTGCGGTCACAGGTCTTTATTAGCAATAAGGTGTATAATAAGAATAATTTCTCACTTCCCAAGAGTTAAAGCGATGCTGTGTGCTTGTCTTATGCCAATTTCTTGCTCATTCTCTGGTAAGTCACACCACCACAAACAGAGATCTGACAGAGAGAAAACAAAATATTAGCTGTGACAGTGACACCCCCACTTCACTGTGACACCGTGACACTGACAACACCCCACCTCCCCCCCACCCACACACAAACACACACACCCTGTATTCCAAGGCAGCTTTAGAAGTGAACCCACCTCGACCAGTTTGCCCCCTACGATCTCAGAAGTGTGGTGATAGTTTGGAAAGTCGCAAACGAGTTTACTCCCGTCCATCTTGACTGTTGCCTGAGCAAAATAAAGCAACAAAGCTGTACTGAGTCAGGGATTTATACAGTACCTACATCATTCACATGTGCAACTCAAAATGGCAACAGAAAATAGTGAGCATTAAATGTGAATGTTAAATGTGGGACACTGCTGTGTGTGATCAGCTGCCGCGTTTCGCTGACAAAATATACAGTAGATTCTGTGAAATACTTTGAGACATCTCAACACCGTGGTAAGGCAACAATAAGGCATTACATCAAATGCAAGGATTATTATTAATCCCTTTAGATGTGAATGTTCAAGACCAGCGAAACACTGAATAGAGCAAAGTGTTAGTTATTAACCATTGCAACTGTACCTTGAACTTCTTGCCATCCATGGTTTCCATATCTGACTCTTGCCCAATGACAAACTTGTTTCTCATGGTTTTTCCCCCTGGGTAGATCTGTGACCAGGTGAACTCACTGCCATTCTGAACGACCTCTGTGATGACCTTGGCGTTCCTTCCTTTCTCAATCATGTCACTGGGATACTCTAGGAGGAAAATAACACTATCACAAAAAGGTTTGCATCAGACTCCTTCAGTTAATTTGTGATTCGCCCACAAGGTATACAGCCAACCCACTTTACAATATATTCTGTGAAGCGCTTTGAGACATCGCAATGATGTGATAAGGCCCTATATTAAATGCAAGGATTTGGTATATGTATATATATAGCGAGAGAGTCTTATCAAATTGTCAAGACCTCTCAAAGAGCTTCATAGATTATACTGTAAAGTGAATTGACTGTATATTTTTGTGGGTGAAAGGAGGCAGCCAATAACACACAGCAGTGTCCCACCAAGAGTGGTGAGTTAAAATAATTGAGATAAGAATGATTGCACTTGTAGTTTTAGACAGATCATTGCTGGCGAACACAATCTGGGCTGTGATAATTATCACATCACATGCCTCACTTTGCTTCTGGTCATGTCATTACTCTCGTTCGACTTACCACACAAACCACATGGCAAATTGGGTCAAGCATTTCTGCACCTTAACCGTTACATACAGAAAGCAAATATGTCTTTACACAACAAAAACAAATTACCTTTGTATAGCACCTTTCACGTCAGGAGGAGTTTGATAAGGGGTTAGCAGGTCACAGAGGTAGGAAGGAGCAAGGCTGTGCAAATTACGCATTGAAGAATGCAAACCACGCATTACAATGTCATACTACATTGTTACTGCTTCTATTCCAAGTGAATCACTTTCCTGATTCAATGCAAAATGAGAATGAAGCATTAATGCAATAGTGAGTTTGTAATGCAGGGGAGAGCGCGAACGCAATCACTAAGCCTCCAGCAGATCATTGGCAGCTGGCAGTTAACTCCTTACTGCCCAGGTGGATGTTAAAGATCTTGTGGCACTATTCAAAAAGCGAAGCGAGTTTCTCTCTCCTGGTGTCCTGGCCAACAATCCCAGAAATAAAATTGGTCACTCAATCCATGACTGTTTGTCAGACACTGCTGTGCACAACTGGAGACCAGAGGACACAGATGACAAAAGTCATGTGGCTACCAGAGGACGCAGATTTAAGATAATTGGCAAAAGAACCAGAGGGGAGATGCGGAGAAAGCCTTCCACTGGAGCTGTTGCCGTCTGCAATGCACTGCCCGAAAGATTGATAAAGGCAACAACCACAACAAATTACATTTGTATTGCGCCTTTCATGTCGGGAGAACGTCCCAAGGGCTGGATAGTCAGGGATTTGGACCTGAGCAGGGGGTTGGGGTGGGCAGGGAGGGTAGGGGTAGAAGGGTATACAGAGACTAGCGCTGCCGTTTGAGAGAGAAACTTACTCAAAACCTTCATGAATTCCTCGTAGTTTTCCTGACTCTCGACTTCGTACTTGCCGTTGAAAGCCATCGTGGATCAGGAACCAAATGGGTTTGGTTACAGGAAAGTCGACAGGTAAAGTCTGACCAAACCTGGTGGTTATATATACACACCCCGCAACCCCACCCAAATAATTGATTAACTAGATTTTTATATTCCCGACTATTGTGGCATGTTGTAATGTCATTACTTTTATAGCAGAAAATATACAATGCATAAAATATGTCAATGGCATAGATGTCATTCCCCTGGTTTTAAGTTCAATGAAAGGTGCTGTAGGTGTGACTGAGAGGTGAGAGGAGATTAGACATTCTCAGTTCTGGTTTTCAGTTTCACAAACTGCAGTACTTCTGCAATCATTTGTTTCCTGTTCAATTTTACCTAGAATTACATAGAAAGTTGCAGCACGGAAACAGGCCACTCAACCCAACAAGTTCGTGCTGGTGTTTATACTCCACACAAGCCCCCACCAACCCTGCTAATCCTCCTCTCCCATAGGATTATTATTATAAATCAGCTACATAATAATAATAATACTCCTCTAATTTGCCCTGCTCGGCCACTGTCTCTCACCGCGGGCTGCCAAGACAACAATAACAACAAAATTACACTTATATAGTGCCTTTCATATTGGGAGGATGTCCCAAGGCGCTGGACAGACAGCGTTTCGGACTCGAGCTGAGGGTCGGGGTGGGTGGAGGGGTGAGGGCGGGGGAGAAGCAAGGAGATAAAAAAACACGATTGAAGAGGAGGGCCTTGAGGTGGGGCATGAAGGTGGCAAGGGAGGGGGCGAGATGGAGGGATTGCGGGATGGAGTTCCAGAGGGTGGGTGCAGAGTGGCGGAAGGCCCACCCGCCGATAGTGGGGCAAGCAAGGCAGGGGACGTTAAGCAGGCCAGAGCCCACTGAGCGGAGCGAGCGAACAGGATGGTAGGGGGTTAGGAAGTTGGTGAGGTAGGGGGTAGCAAGACCATGGAGGACTTTGAAGGTGAGGACCTTCATGTTCATCACATCCAGGCTACACTATGCAAACTCCTTGCTTGTCGGCCTCACCAATTCCCCCCTCAACAGGCTGTAGATCATTCAGAACTCTGCAGCCCGTGAACTCTTCCAAACCAAGCTCCACGACCCTATCACCCCCATGTCTTGAAGCGCTTCGCAAGATATACTTTAAAGGGGTTTGTTTGACAGTGTATTTTGAGTGGCGAATCATGCAGCCAGTTTGCTCACAGCAAATTCCCAAGGACAGCTATGGAGTGAGTGACCAGTTTTATTTGGGGGATTAGAATAACCGGGACACTGGGAGAGAGAAACTACTTTCTCTTCTTGAATAACTCCATGGGATCTTTAACATCCACCTGAACAGGCAGGTGGGACCTCTGCCTATTCAGCTTAACATGATTGAGTTTGACTTGTCAAACCGAGTGCTTGTCACTCTTCAACAGATCTTATGTTCAACATTCACCAAGGTGAATGCACTCCAGTGCAAGACTTGCTTATATAATAAAAAGTGCTTTTTTAATTTTGATGATGGGATAGTTACTTTAGAATTGGGCGTCAATTGCCAAGACTCTGTGTTTTATTACTCGGTTCAGGTAATAACCTTTTACAGTTATTCATAGACACATTAATTGATTTCATGTTACACAGGTACCTTGACCTTGAGAATTGTGTATTGGACACAGATCTTACCAGCAGTCTCTCTCCCTTTCATGCCTACATGTCTCAACGATGCTTTGCAGCAACGTAGAGTGAATCCTTCTATCACCAGCAGGCCGGGTAGTAAAGAAAGGCATATCTCCTTATTCACCCTGTACCAATGCACAAAGTATAAATTACACTACCTGCTTGTGTGTTATATACCATATATAGGAGTGATCACGTCGCTGCAATAACAACATGAACTAGTCTTCATGTTCAGAGAACTCGTGTAGTAGACTAAACGAAAACCTTGTCATGGGAAATAAACCAAGTGGACGGTAAAGCCAGCGATTTTTCAAATCCCAGTTGGGATGTTACTGGAATTCCTGTGATGGTACATGGGGGATTCAGACACACAGTCATGGTTGGAGGGGTACCCTATTACAGGTGGCAAGTTCAAGAGGAATAAATGTTTGTCCAAGCACTTCGGGATTTTGTTGGAAATGTACTATCAGTGTTTATCGGGGTGGGACGGGGACGGGCCCTGGCTAGTAACATCCTATTACAAACTCTCCACTTCATTCTTGTTGCTATCGGGAGGGCAAGTAGGTTGATGGTAGAGAGAGGAAGAAAAATTCTCCTGTGTGTCCCGGCAGCCAACTTGGACTTTGCGGGAAGGCTATCCGAGATTAGCCCATGATGTTCCCGATTCACCAGGCCCCAAATAGAGAGAGAAATCACTATCCCCTCTCACAAACACCCGGGAGTCTGGCTTCAGAGAAATGGTGGGTTTCTGGAGTGGATCTGGAATTAAAACACAGTAAAAATAATATCACAAACACTCTCTCTGTGACATGGACACGGTTCAGATCAAAGTAAAACCAGGGAAGATAAGAGAGTGATGGAAGAAAATCACATGAACTACTGTTTATAGTTGGAAATGTACAGTGCAAGATACATTTACATAGCACCTTTTATGTTGAGAGGGCGTCTCAAAGCGCTTCATACAGCTGGCTGGGCACTCGAGTTGTAGAAGTGGGGGATGGGAAGGGAAAGGTGACTGAAAGCTCAGTCAAAGAGATAAGTTGTCACAAGCTCTGTCTCCTGAGTCCGGGTAAGTTCTACCTGACTTAAAAACAGAAGTCGTTGGGAACACGCAGCAGGTCAGGCAGCATCTATAGAGAGAGGAAAAGGAGTTAACGTTTCAGCTCAAGCACCTGCTTGGTCGATATTAATGCTACAGGTTTAAGTACTTTCTCACAGAGAAGTTACAATTCCGGTCTAATTCCAAGGCTGTTGTTATTATGAAGACAGAATCAGTATTTTTTCCTGGATTCTAATTAACAGAGTCCACAGAGATGGTAGGTTTTACAGTGCATCTTTGATATAAGTCTTTAATATTAATGCAGTGTTTCTCTGTGAAGCTCTTACAACTAAACTCGGTTACAGAGTGCTGCTTGCGAAGCCTATTTGTGCCTGGCTGCCCTCGTGTGGAGAGCAAGGAAGCACCAAGATGAGCCCGATATTATCAGGGCATAGCATATGTTCAGAGGCTATACTATACTGGTCTTACTCTGCGACATGACTGACCTTGTATAAATGATAATAATCTTTGCATTTGATATAGTGCCTCATTGGGTCTTCTAGAAGTTTCAAAGCGCTTCACAGAATATACTATAAAGTGAATTGACTGTATATTTGTTGGCGAAACTAAGAAGCCAATTGCGCACAGCAGTGTCCCATAAACAGTCGTGGATTGAGTGATCAAATTATTATTTTTTCTAAAAAGCATTTTTGAGGGTTTATAAAAGCCACCTGTCAATCGACTAACAACCGGGTACCTACTTACTGCTATGTAAACAGAGGTATATGGAGTAAGGAAACTTGCCCAACATTTTGCCTTGCCGGGAATAGAACCCAGATCTCTTGCTTGTGAGGCGAGTGCTCTAACCACTGAGCTACAGGACTACAGGATATTACACCTATCACATCATTGAGACATCTCTTTTGAGAATATACTATAAAGTGTATAGTTTGTGGGTGAAATGCACACAGTAAAAGATAGTGTGCATATAGTGGACCCACGTACCTCTTTGTCACTCTGGACATCACTGAACATTGCTTACATTGGGAAATTCCTGCATTGCAAGGCAAAAAACAGCTAAAATAAAACAACCTCCCTTGAAATAATAGAATCGGTCACAAATCATCCCAACAGTAGCCAGTCCACAAGGTTGGCATAACATGTATGCATGGTGTGTTGTACTGCTCAGGTAGCAAAAAGGGAATAATCCCGGTCAGTGCTGATCACAAAAATGTTTTGTTTGCTGCCTTCCTGAAGGACACATGGCAATTTTGAGGATCATAAACTCAGTAAACAAGGCCCTTTGGCACTCATGAAACCAGGTGTTCTTCTGGCATAATCGAGGGGACGGTGAGGGCCTGCCTCAGGCTCGTGCACGCTAGGATCAGGGATTATATACTGAGGGTCAAGCTGACCTCGGCTCAACCGCGGCAAAGGCCCAATGGGGCCTGACCCCGGCAGAGCTGCTCCTGCGCAAAATGCTCAGGGTGCACTCACCGGGTAATACACAACGTACCCAAAACTAAGACTAAAATAAACGTGAGAGTAAGCATATATATGTAAAGGAGGCGGCTCGAAATGTAAACAAAGCGCGCCCTGAAGATGTATGTACAGTGCACATAGAGGCGACTCCCGACTGTTTTAAAGGGAGCATCCCAAAAAACATAACCTGTGTGCGGTGAAGGAATGTACTGTAAACAACAGAATGTTTTTATAGCGGGAGAAAGGGGAAAAATTGTAACAGAAGATGTTGTGTTTGTTTTGGATTTCAGTTGTACCAAATATTTTATTTATAAATAAATATATATTTAAAAAATACATTGCAATTTTACATGGGAATAATTCACACCCGTTGATCTGTACGTTTGCCGAGTATTCTCCTCTCTTGCATTGCGTTCCTATCTGAAGGAGTTTCGGGAGGTGTCTTTCTTTGTCCTCTTATGCTATCTTCTGAGTAATGGAGTTGCCCAAAAAACTCCCCTTACCTAAAGCCCACAATAAACTGCCAAGGTTCTGGCCCTGATGTTCACACTTGCCAGTGAAATCCATTCTGCTGTAAAATAAGAAGCAGGGTTTTAGTAAGAGCAATGTCAAGACTGATAAGCACATTTTGGTGGATCCTTTGTGTATGTGACACAAAGCATGCGACTTCTCTGTAAAAATCATTAACCAGACTGTAAAGTCAATTTCTTCATAAATCATTTTGAGCACAGACCATATTCACAACTGTACAACCCCTTAGATATGTACAGTGTTTCATTAACTTGCATTAGCACTTATGAAACCCAGAGGTTAATGATGGATCTCTAACAGTTGATGGCAAAGTAATGACTGAATCAGTAGCGGTTCCATT